ATGCAACATGTTATATAACTTCCAATAGGTATGTTGTTTTTGACACTCATTTTCATTGAGCTCCATTTTCGTGCGTTTTACAAATACAATTTTTGTTTTAAATCTAGAAACAATTTCAGTAAAAATATGGTATTATCTGATAAGGGGTACTTCCAACTATATGTATATATATATATTTACATTTATATTTTGATCTTTACCTAAGACATAATATTCAAAAACAAAGTCGCTTTTGGTGCCTTTACTCTATATTAGTAAAATCTTTTAAAATTTAAAGGGTCAGAGGGTTAGATTGCCTTAAAATCATGCTTATTTTTTCACAATTTTTTATGACAAACTGAATGAATATGTGAAAGTGTTATTTTGACGTGTATTTATATAAATAAAGAGAAGATTTATTTATTATATGTATTTAATATATAAAGAGAAGAAAAATATAATTTTGATCATCAAATATTTAATATAAGTGTATGGTATATGCAGTTAAAATATATTTCGTTTTTCTTTTTAAGGTCATTTTGCAGAAATATCTTGACTCTCAGTGGTTCAATTAAACTGAATTTTAGGTAGAAAATTTCCGTGAGCTTATCATTATCAGGTAAACCACTATACCAATAGAAATTGAGTAAAAGTTAACAAAACTGCAAATATCTTAATGAAATATTATTAAAACTTTCAGTCCTTTTATAGAAAAAAAATTAATATTTCAAAATTAAATATTTTGTAGAGTTTGTCAGTGGTTCATCCGATAACGACAGGCTTACGGAAATTTTCTACCTAAAATTCAGCTTAATTAAACCATCTAGAGTCAAGATATTACTGCAAAATTGCGACCTTGGGAAGAAAAACAAAATATATTTTAACTGCATGTACCATACACTTATATTGAGTATTTAATCATCAAAATTATATTTTTCCTCTCTTTATATGTTGTATAAATACACGTCAAAATAACACTTTCACATATTTCATTCAGTTTGTCATAAAAAATTGTCAAAAAAAACAAGCACGATTTTTAGGCAATCTGACCCTCTAGTCCCCTTAAGAGATTCTACTAAGGAAATAATATTTTTGCACATCGAACGTTTTTTAACTACAGTAGGATATCATACGTATAATTTTAATATCGTCGCTTTGACAACGACGCCTTTATCGACATAAAGAACTCCGACGATTTCTAGCTCGCGGCTACCGTCACATACGGTGGTTTGCAAAAGGTGCTCTCTCATAAAGCCGTGCGACGTAAATCCGCCGATAAATCAGCCGCAATAAACGCCGACGCGCTGTTTGTCGAGGCTGTCGCGAAACTTTTCGGCACGCGGACTTCGGCCGTTTCGGCCTGGCGGCGAAAAATTTTCTCCAGTGCGGAAATTCGCATGCGAGTACGGAATGAAGGGAAAGAGGGACGGCCGGAATTTATGCCCCCCTCGCGCCGGGCGCCGGCGATTAATTTCGGACCCCTCCCCCTCTCGCCCCCAACGCTTTTCAGAAACGCATTTCGGCTGCGCCTCTCTAATGGCGCCACAAATCACACCCGTAATGATCTCGAAGCTGGAAGAACTGCGATCATCGCCACTCGCGTCCTCCTCCCCTTACCCTCGCTTGCACCCGTTTACCACCCACCCCTCATCGTTTTGGGTTAGACACGGCCGCCGAAGACGAATCGTCCCATCGATTATTGATTTCCAACTTAGATATCATCTATACAGAGTATCCCGCGCGAAACGACTCCAATATAGTAACGATTGATTTCTTAGACCATTCAGCGTTGATTTTTATTTGGGAAAAATCCCAGGGAAAATGACCATTCGATGCATCAACCGCTGCAAATGTGTTTGATCGATACAAGCAGCCTCGATTATCATCATGAATATCAGAGTGAACGTGACATCACGATATTTCGCAATAGAGTAATTTGTAATTGTCGTGATTCTAAAAGAGTCACGGCACACACCTGACACGGGTCGTTAGTGTTTCCAGAATCGATTTTATTAGCTTGTTATTTGTCGCATGGAAAGATCGTGTTCACTTCGCACTGCAATTATTGCATTTGCAAATCAAACAATTCATTCATAACGAGTGATGCGGAAAGATTGATCCAATTTTAATTGCCACTCAGTATCGCCCCAACCAATTCTACTATGAGTTTGGCTGTTATTGGCCGCTGCTTTAGTTATGTCTATATTATGAATGATCTTAAATTCGTCCTGTAGTCACAATTTATCTCCATTCTATCGACCTATATTTGATCTCCTCCCCCAGAATAACAACAATTAATGGTACCGTTGCGCGCAATTTCACATAAAGTACAAATCTGATTTTAATAACAAATTTATACGACCCCCGTGTGCGCCATGTTATGTTAACGACCAGTCCGTTGATTAATTACAATTAATAAAATAAATATCGAGAGGTAAACGAATATTAATGAGACCAAGGGGGATTACGCGGTAATTAATTTCGCGATGAGCTCGCTATTTCGGGGCAAGTATTATTTGCGGGGCCCTTGTTGCAGACTCTTTAGAGTATTCCGCACTATTTAATTAGAGTTTTGCTTTTGTGTGAATTAACTTGCCTTCTTTCCATCTAATTAAGTGTCTTCCATAGACCAGACGAAATCAATAGTTTCTTATCGATATGCGAAGAAACAATAATAATAGCGGTGAAAGGGAATATAATAAGTCCAGAAAATAAAAATAATATAAATAGGATTTGAAGGGAGGGAAGGGAAATTCCAATGAGAAACTTGCGAAATACTTACAACTATTTGTTTGATCTCCTCGCCATCGACGTTTCTCCCCGAATAGCAACAATTAACGGTACCATTGCGCGAAATTTCACATAAAATACAAATCTGATTTTAATAACAAATTTATACAGCCCTCGTGTGCGCTGTGTTATATTAACGACCAGTCCGTTGATTAATTACATAAATAAAAGTTTTATATGGAGAGAATATTATAGTTCTTCTTTATAAATGTTCAATTTTATTGCGTTTCTAGTACAGAAATAAAGTGTCAGTAAAGTTTATCTTGCTACAAAGCATAGTAAATTTCGCAAAAAATACAAAAAAACAAGTTTTTTTAATAACGTACTTTAATTCCTAAAATATAACATACATGAGATGAAAGTATAATAAGTTATTGCAGAATGTCGAATTATTTCACGGTTACAAAGTTCTGTAGTAATATATAAAATTATAAAATTCTCTTCATGTAATTCATGTAATTCTCAAAAATTAAGAGATATTTGAATAATTCCAAAATGTTAAATATGTAGGGAAATTTTTGAGTGATGAGATAGAGTGGAGAGAAGAGGGAGAGGAAGAGAGAGAGGGAGAATGAGAAGGGAGAAAAAGAAAGAGAACTTACTCTCAGGATAGAGTCTTCGCGGATTTCCTCTGAAAGACGATTCTCTCCGTCGTGTGCCACCGCTGAAGAGCGAAGGAGGCAAAGAAGGAGATGGAAACGGATGCGATGGCGTGTGGCATCGCGGGTGGTTTTCATTTTGCGAACTGAATATGATTTGCCGTACGAATGAGCATGTAGGTTAGCGCTTTCCTGAAGCTTTATATGCCAGTGCATGGGAGTGAGATGGGGGCTGCAGGTTACCGCCGCACCGGTTTCTGACCCTCTTTCGGCCATGCTCTTTCAACCTCTTCCCCTCTCCATAGTCGTCCCGGAGGGAAATGCCGAAACTTAGATTGTTGTTTATTATCCGCCAGTTCTGCTTTTTCAACGTTGTTTTAGGTGAATAAAGTTCGTTACTACTTTAATTATTCCTTGAACTTTAGATTCTCGCAAAACCAAATGTGATAGGGCGCATATAAAGGATCATATAAATTTAGTATCAAAGTTAGGTTTGTGTACGCTTTACGGTCAGTAATTTCTTTCCGTGCGAACACAATTTCTCCCTGTTGCGCGATACTGCGAACGAATGCTATTTCTAAAATGATGTGACGCGGTTGAAGAATTCTCTTTATAGTTATTAATTTATTATTTTACTCGTACTGGATTTTGCTTTCGCCTTAATTAAGGAATATTGTTCCTGTTATAATATTACCACTCGTTATTACCAGTATCGTTATATCATATTGTTATTAGCAACTGAACGCAGAGATTGGGTAAAGCGGAAGAATTAAAAGTTTCGTATTAATTTAATTGGTGGTCTCGCTTAGATAATACCATCGCATTTTATACTTTCTATATGTTAATTTTGTATGGAGTAATTCAGCGTGCAGGAAGACTGGACGTTCAACAGTAAATACGTGAACTGAACAAATTATTTTTATATAGCAAATTAAGCAAATTAACCTTTTGGAGTATAATTTTGAAATATAATTTGAAACATAATTATACCAAAATGCGTATTACTCACGTTTTGAACTAACAATTAACTAAATTCGTTAGTACAGTATAAAAATATGCGCTATTAAAAAAATCTATCTGTGCTCCGCAAAAAAGTAAAATTAACATGTTTATAATTATCAGCTACTAAACACATTTTTTCCGTCAAATATCGATTTTAAGAAATAAAGTGCGACTTCTGACAACAAAATTTGTCTATTGGAAACAACGGTAAAGAGTTGTAGAAAAAAATGATTAGTTTCTTGATTAATAAAACAAAATTAAATCAAAGAAAACACGTTGCTCCGAAATCCTTATTTTTCAGGAAGCGCGAGAAAACGTCCGGTAACATTAACACACAATTACCAAAGATATTTCGTAACTATCTCGTTATATTACTTATTCTTTATGCATTCCATTACTGAGTAGAATACAGTTTTCACTGTACACAACGGCATTTCCAAATAATAAAAAAAGAGAGAGAAAGGATAAAAAAACATGTGGGAAGCGGAAAGCCTCGTTGACAATCTCCGAATGAAAGCCCCTTGAAACAAGTATCGCATCACTCTCACAACGTTGTTTCCGCAAAACGACCCATACAATTAATCCCCGCACTTATTTCGTCGAGACAAAATGGCGTGGTGAGATACTCACGTCTCGCGATACGGAAGAGACCGACCGCCACGCGTAATCCTTCGACGAAGGTAACTCGGAAAACAGCACTTCTCTTTCTCTCCCTTTCTTTCTTTCTCTTTCTCCGAAGCACTGACAATCGACGCACCAATCGATTCCCACTGACTCGCACGAAACATCTATAAACTACTCGTTGAACCTCCGCTGAAATCACTTGATCTCCATCGTTCGCAGCCTACGTGGCTCCGGCGCCATGTCCTTGAAAGAATATCACATACGGTGACTCTTTCGAGCGGGATTTGTCAGGTCCATCCTTCTGCCGCGGAGATCTACTGATCGCCATCCCACGAATCCCGTAGGTCCCCTGCGGTCATCCCAACTCGTACGAATCCGCCGACCTTTCTGCTACATCCTTCCGCCGAGAGAGAACTTTTCCCGGATGATTCTCGTTGCTGACTAAATCGCGGAGTGTGTTCTTTTCAAACGAGCACGAGCCACAATTCTTCTCGATAACGAGATGGTTTCTTAGAGGAGGATGATTCACGGTTATCCTCGAAGGACAAGGCAGCCTTCTGGAGGCAGGTGAACTAACGGTTTGCTTTGGCATGCAAAGAGTATTCTTCCCGAATCCCAGCTTCTCCAGGCGCGAGAAACTCGCCACTTTCCTCGGCACGCAGGATTCTTGCACTTTTTCTCGGAGGGAAGAGAACAAATTTTGCCCGAACGGGCGAGATCCACGATTAGCCTTAGTGTCGATAGGATTTTCCTTGGGCGTGAAGGAAATATAACGCAGACGACGATCTCGAGGAATCCTCAATATTCCGAAGGGCGCGTGCGAGCGCTCTTCCTCAACTCGGTCGGGGAGGATGCCCGACCATCTGGAAGGGATTCGTGATCTCTTCCGGCGAGACGTTGCTTTCCTCAAGGAGAAAATAAACTCGCGATACTTCTCAATGGAGTGTGAATGGACACTTTTTCTCGCAGCGAAGTATCCTTCTCGACATCGCGTATCAACTCACTAATTCCGACCCTACCGAGTGTGTCCGTCTTTATCTTCCTTCAACACACGAGTCCACATCTCATCTTCTTCGGCGATTAATCATCCGACACTGAACACAGACTCACGTTACCACGAGCCCTCGGAGCGCTCTTCGGCGAGGACCAATCACGCCGCGGAGAATGTTCCCTCATTGAACGTGGTCAGCACGACGCGTTTCCTCTCGCGACATGTCGCGGCGAAACACCAACGCTACACAAAATGTCTCTCAATGTAGAAATCCACGCAACCTCTCCAACTCGCACGAGATGTTTCTCAATGAAGGACCACGCGTGATCATCGAGCACTTCGCACATAATTTTCACGCCCGCGATGTCACGACAGTCACTCCACGTTTCATCTCCCTCGAACCGCTATTTCAGCCTTTTCCAACCAACCTGCTATCGTTCAACAAGTCCATCTGCGATCCTCACTCACTCACTCCCGCACACTCTCAAACGCACGGATCACGCTCGCCCTCCTCGAGTGCACCGGCCCAGTCTTCTCTATATACGCGTTTCCACCCTTCGACGACAAGTGCCACCACGTTCTGCCTGTCCAGGCGTACTCCAACCAATCCGACCAGTGGCATCTGCGCGAATTTCCCTGATAAGACCACCCGCATGCTGTTCTTTCACCTCGCAACATTCAGAGCCAAGCGTAGATCTGCGCCTCTCTTCCGCTTGCACGACTCTCGTCGACAAGTCCGCCAGATGCAGCTGGATCAACTCGCGATCAACACTCTTCTACCCTGAACACGTCTGTCCTGTTTCCGCGCATAGACTCATATCTTTTGCCTTTACGCCAGCCCGCGCGATATCGTCACGGCCCACCTGAAGCCATCACAATTTCCACTGTTTTAACGTACAAAATAATCGCACGCCTCTCTGCTGCTCGAGTCGAGCGGTGAATCGCAACCGAGCACAACTTCTCCTCTCCGTCGAGGTGCGAGCTCTTGACTCTCCACTCTGAATTTCCTTCACTTAATGTTATTTACGCGATTACGATTACGACCGAGTGTGGGAATTTTTCACGGCCGAAGCGGAGACACGTTTCTCAGTCTCGCCGTCCACGACGACCCACGAGCCCGCGGGCGGCGAGCGGAGGAGGAATTCGAGCGGAAGCGACGCGGTAACCCAGTTTCCAGCGGGAGCGCCGCTCCTCCCGGCATGCAGCGCGTAAAAATGGCTTCAGCAGCGTCGGGACGTCGCGCGACGTCCCGGAACGTCCTGCGACTCCGGACGTTTGATGAGCGCGAACGAGATGCTCGCTGATGCTGCCAGCTGATCCCACCGTGCATCGGCGTCACGACTCGGCGTCGATTCGTCTCCGAACACCACTCCGCTCTCTACCCGGTTACCGGAAGCTCCCTCGCGACAACGACACGACGTGAGGAAGGCCGAGAGGGGGAGAGAGTGGACGGAGAGGAGCGGATGATCCTGAGAGGAAATCGTCTAGATTTCCAGCAGGTGGACGTCCCGACGCCTCTACGAGAGACACGGAATAACCTCCGCGCAAGCAAAATGGTGGACGGCACTCCCGAGGGCCGACTCGCGCCTCCGCTCGGTTTCCGCCCGGCGAGCACCCGATGGGACTTCCGGCGACGTCGCGAACTCGCACGGAACCACTTCCGGAGGATACTGTGCTCGCGCCCGTACGAAGGGCCACCGTAGGGACCCCCCGGACTTCGCCACGGAGACGCGCAGCCCTTCGAAATGGACTTTCCGCACCGCTTCCACTTCGACGCGCGATTCTCACTTCGATGCGTGCGTACGCGCGCGCGCGCTCGTGCGCGCCCTTGCTCGCGCACGGCCGCGCGCTCACACTCTCTCACGACGACGCGATCGGCGTCGAGCGCGCTCCTCCTGGCCGCCGCCGACCGCCTTCAGCGTCGTGGATGAGCCCGTGGGGCTCGTCGGCAGCGTCGGCAGGATCCTCGCCGAGAGCATTCCAGGGAGGGTGGACCGCACACACCGCGCCATCTGGCGATCTCGCGGCGTACACAACCTCTCGTCATGGCGGCCGGACCAACCCCGAGTCAATAATAGGGCCAGCAAACGCGGATCTTGAGAGCGCGGCCACGCGGTGTCACGCAGAACGGCGTCATCCCCTTGATGAACCCGCGGCAGACACAGATATCACGATTGCTACCCTTCGTAGGGGCGCTGGACACTTCGAAACCTCCCTCACTTGCGTCCCCGTTTCTTTCTTTCCCTTTTTTTATCCACACGCGATCACGACGCGGGGCCACCCTCTTCGAGGTGCTCGGGCGGCTGCGCGATTCGCACTGAGCGCACCCCCGCATGGGAACCGAGAGGGTGCGAGCGGTGGTCAGGGGTGTGACTATGAATCCTGCAAGTTCGTCTACGGAGAGAACGCGCCCCGATAACACCCGCATCCTCTGTCGCAATAAATTTGTGAATTTAGCTGTTGCCTACATGAAGATAACGAGTCTCCTGGCACTACGAATAAAAAAATAAATGTCCGAGAAATCTGATTAGAAGGATACGATAGTTGCCTCTAGTTATTTTCAATGTATGTTAACTGAATATTTATATGTTGTGCTTTTCTTATTTGACTCAAATATCTTTTGCTATTACATAAAGTAGGTTCGTAGTGGAATATTTATGACGATTGGTGAAATCTTTACTGATGAAATTTACTTTATCCACAAGTTGTGGAAAAGAGAACCCTCGAAGACGCTCCTGTCGGGAGTGCACGAGCATTGTCGGAAATACGCGACGCCCGCAACGAACGTCCCGATGCTTTCGCGGACGCGTCGCGCTGTTTTGGGGATTTTTCCGGACGGCGGGGGCGGCGAGAGGGCGAAGAGGAGAAACGACGGGATGAGAACGGGAGTACGCGAGAGAGGGTTGTTTTGTCGCTGGGATTGGATATGAATAATCGGAGAACGCATTCGCACGAGGGGGTAGGTTTTGGAGAAGTTACGGTGCTTTTGAAAGAATGCAAGCGGTTACGGAGAAGAAATACGAGACATAAAATTACGGAAAAAAACCGCAGTTTCGCGATGAGTCGAACGCTTACGCAGCATTTATTTAGGGAAATTATGAAAAGAGTGGAAGAATCTGTCGCCATGTTGCATTAATTTGGCGTAAAATGGGATAAAATGATGGAAGCGCGACAAAATGTCGCGTCGTTATAGTTGAAATGCAGCGCGTCGAATATATACTAAAAGGATAAATGTCAGAAAATTTTTCAAACTGTTTTATATTAAACTAGACGTAACATGATTTATATTTCGATGCAGCTATGTCGCATTAATCTAGCGCGAAAATGTCCCTGAAGATGTGAAACGCTCATGCGGTTATTTTCGCGTCGAGGCAATAAATTTGCAAAGACCGCCGGAATTTCGGTATTTTCATTAGCTAGGAGCGCACGACGTGTTTTCGCGATAAGAATGCAATCGCCGTCAATCACTACTACGATTTCTAACCAATATTTGCACGCCGCCGGGTATTTTCCCAAAACCGAAAGCCACGTCATCGGCAGGGACGGCTTTATGCATAAATAGCTGCGCGCTCCTTTTCCGCGAGATTAACAATAAGGTATTCAATACCGCTACGCTCCGCTAATACTACTATAGAAATTACTATAGAAATTATAAATAATAAGATGTTTACTAATAACTAACAGAAATACATTAAAGAAACATTAAATTTAAATTTTTCTAATGACGTGTGCATCAATATAAATAATCGTAATCATTACTCATTGATAAAATTAAATGAGAACAAAATTAGTAATTATTCAACAGAATTAGTAAGTCTGGAAACTTTATATATTTCGAGTTTCGATATTTAAATATCTACATATAATTATGAGCTTTTAGAATTCAAGAGCTATATCCTTGAAAAAGAATCTCACAATTTGAACTTACCGATCGTATATAAATTTAGATGTTCTAATAATTCTCAACTTACAAAGCATGGGAATTTTAAAATTTGGTGTACCCAAGACTCGAAATTTCTTGCGATTCTTATCATTGTGTCTCAGAACCCTCGAATTCTCACAGGTTTCAATTTATACATCAGTCGTCCCTGACTAAGCTTTTTACAGATTGCTACCGTTGGAAATATACACGACTGAACGCGAATCATCAAATCACATGACACATGATGAAGCTATAAATAAGTCGCATCCTTATCGGAATGTAAATGCACTCATCTCAGTTCTTCCTCGTCTTGAAAGTACCGATCTCGAAGCTACCGGGGTCAGTCCAATTCCATCAGGACGCGTAATATGTGCTTTACATCCTGCACATCTTGAAGGAAGATGTCCTGCACCAAGGATCCAGAAGTGCTCGACAAAAGGAAGATCACCGTTTGGCCGCAATGGCTGGCTGTCTTTACGAGTGAGTCCTCCATCGTTAAACAAACTACAATTAGAAAAACATACATGATTTATACATAAAAATATACAAATAATACGAATAGGTCGTCATTTTTTTAAACATTTTACGTTATATATTTAGCCAAATACACGCATAAAATATACGTAAAGTACACATCTGGATAAAATTATAGTAATTATTCACAAAAATATACGTTTATAAAAATATAAAATTATGGTAATTATTTACAAAAGATTACACGATTGCTTTGATTCTAATATATGTTATTCTAAGTTCTATTACTTGATTCCAAGCGTGACCTCTCTCGCATATCTATAATATGTACATTGGTTATACACAAGTATATGCAATCTACAGTTTAACGCCGAATTTCGAATGTCTATAGAAAGGTTCTTTTGGTAAAAATATCCTTTCGTTGCCTTTCCCAAAAGGAGACGAATATGAAAATTCTCCAATTTTGTCAAGAAATGAACCTGATATCTTTAGTATAATAAATCAGGCGCTGTTTATTACATCACGCTCACTCTTAATATATATTATATTTAAAATAGAATCCTAAGTTTTATACTTTGAATCATATAGAGATCATATTTGGTTCTTGAAATATATTACTTTGAAATTTTATAATTTTACATTGTATTATATTATATTATATTATATTGAGCTATTCTTATAACTACTCTTCACACACATCGCGTACTATTCTTTTTGTTTACATTTTTTATTTACGTATAACTAAAATTTCATTCAAAAATGACTTGTTAAAAATGCTCAAAAATTTTTCGTTTTATAAAATTGTAATTTATCGTACACAAATAACAAATCCTGATAAGAATAGTAAAAGCCTCTACACAAGGCTTGATGCATGTGTAGAGCTTGCAAATGTGTAGCAAAATTTATAAAAAAATATTTCGATGATAACCCGCTTATACTCCAACTTTACGTAGGAGTATTTGCTAATTTTATCAGAATCTAATACTTTAGTGTACGATGAACTCATCAATTTAGTAAAGCGAGAAAATCGAACTATATTTTGACAGAATACAACCTTTAACAATAAACAATAAACCTTTAACAATAAATGTACATATAATATGGAAACTTGTGGAATAATCAATCATTCGTTAGATATTTATTTGTTAACAAACAATGAACAATGATCTTTATAGTATTTCCCAAAAACTGAAAAAAAATAGCAAAAAAGAAAAGACATTTTTACCCTCTATCTTCATTGAACTTGGAAAAAATAACTTTTTGGTATTAATTTGAATAATATCATACATTTAAGTAACATGTTAGAGAAATTTTATTAGGCCTACATATGATTGAATATAACAAATCTTGTATCACATGCACTTCTAGAGTAAACTCGGAAAGATGGCCATAGGCTGTAATTTCTCTAATAATTGCGAAACATTGCGTTGTGTAATCAGTCACAAAGATAATCGATATTTATCTTAATGTATGTGTGTACATTTTTCGAAATAGCAAGATTATGAATATTATACTTTATTTTTATTTTCGACTACCTTTAAAATTTCTCATGTATCCACTAAAACTTGCTGTAACGTCGAATAAATTACAATTAAGCTATTGCAATCAACGTTAGATACATAAAGTAGGTATATAAATTGTAATATAACATACATTTTTATTTTCATTTTCATTATTTGTTTATAATTATAACCGTTTTTCACTCACATTTTGGGTAAGATGGATTTTGGATCCACTATCGTTCTAACATTTATAAAACAAAAGTCGTTATATTTCAAAAATTACTTTTAATACTACAGTAATTAAATCTTATGTGCAATATGTTTTGATCAAAAATTGGATTTAAAATTTAAGTTTTGTAATAGAGGTTTCTATTTTATATGTATATTATATTTTTCACAAATAATATGTATTAAATATCCTATATTAAAATGAATATGTCAAATTATGTTTTTTTCATTATTTTATAAAATAATAGGTACAAAATCTTGAACACAAAATATATATGGATCATCTATTCCTTATGACCATTTTGTCTTAAACATTTAGATAAAATGACCAATGTTCATGTTTTGATATTTTTGCAATAAATAATTTCACTGAAGTATTTTCCTTTTAACTCTGATGGTATTATGTACTGTAGGCTTCAGTGAAGTAATGTGCCAAACGCTATTAAGAAATAAGAAATGTATTTTTTTTTGCATTTTAAAAAAGTATAGCCATCTTATCTGAGTTTACCTTATATTTCTTTCAATACGAATATTATGATAATAATAATTAGGATAATAAAACTGAGAAAGGGGATTTCCTTAATATTGTACAAATATAGTATAATATGTAATAAAGTATGTAGATTTTTTAAACTCTCAACTTTTTAATGCACAAGTATTATTTTGCAAGCAGATTACAAGCGATAGATGTCATGCGACAGTGACGCAATCTACTAGTCTAGTCAGTGCAAAATTTAAATTCGCGCGGCGGAAATAGTTTTTTGACCGCCGTGCCTTTAAGTTTTACACGAGATAATGAGCAAGCTTCTTAACTTTACAACTTAAGTTAACTCGGCACAATGACAAGACTTGATTTTTTAAAAGTTAACTATAAGTACGTCGCAGGGGAGATCGGGGCTAGATGCTTCATATTCAGAATTTTTTAATTACAACTTTTCGAACAATTAATTGTTGTGACTGACTGTATAAACATGACAAAGGCAGCCTTCATCTATATGTTAATGCCAGAGTTGAGAAGTAACGTGTTACTTGTAACACCATTAACGTTACCATTATTTTTTTTCGATAACGATCGTTATTTTTTTCTGTTTGTAACAGTAACAGTAACGTCATTACTTTTTTATAATAACGATAAGGGCAATGGCACACAAAAAAACTTACGCAGTAAAACATAAGCAATAAACAAATTAACCAATCACAGGCGATGATTCTTCTTATAGCCCAAAAATCAGTAACTATAATTAGTCAATTTGCTTTCTGCTTGCGTTTTTCCATGTGCTATCCGCTTAACGAATTCAACCGTTATCGCATTACTTTAGTTATCTCTATTCAATAGATAATTATTGGTCGCGCACTAATAGCGTGTATTAGGTATTCTTGACTGGATAGAAATATCTGGATATTCGCTAAAAGACAGTACGTGGTTTTATCTTATTCTTCATGTAAAAATGATTGTTAGTGCAATGTCGAATTTGCAATTTAGCTATCCAAAATTTTTATTAAATTTAATAATAAGCATGCTTAATATAGTTCACTTTTTTAAGAAATTATGGAACAAATATATGTTACACTAACAAGTAACACTACTCAACTGACACTCAACGATTCGAATAAAACTTAACATACTTATTAAACACCTAAAAATATTGAACACGTGTTTTTTTTTTGTTTCTGCTAAATACGCATTTTAAGGGTAGAAATCATCCCTCAATCTCTGGGGTGTAGGAACAGCTATGGCTAATTATTTCCGAAACGATACATTTTCTGAAAAATGTGCTTAGGACGAAAGTTGTAAGGTTTAAAGCGATGCACTTGATGGTGACCTTTAATTGACTTTGAGATCGATTTTCAAGGTGAATTAAATTTGGAGATAATTAGCCGTTGCCGGACTTTTGCCATATCCTGTATATAATCAGTGATTTCGTGCGCTAACTCTAAATCTGTCTTCAAAATTGATCTGTCGCGTTATTTTCCTAAAAAATCTGACGTGGTGAGAAAATTTTAAGTGCAAATTCACAGAAAAAAATAAGAAGAAAAAAGTTTTGTGGTTAACTTTAGAACAGAAGTAAAGGTAAGAAAATGTAAAGTATCACTCTAATTGTAAGTTTAACATTACTCATACTATATTAAAATAATATCTTCAATTTTTTCTGACTTTTATTGCTACTCTGAAGTTATCCGCAACACCTTTTACTCTTTATTTTGTATTAGGATTTCATTTGGACATATGATCAATTGTCATTTTCACGACTGTCGTTAAGCAAGCATTTCCCAAAATTACTTCTTCATCAATATTATCATCATTATTTATTTATTTATTTATTTATTTATTTATTTATTTATTTATTTATTTTCTATGATTTTCTATCCTTTTTAATCAATCGGACCATCCACATTCTGAACATAAAATTTTACGCTCTATCGATTCTCGAGGTTAAAAGTAGATATTTCTTTTGAAAAACATAAGGTGATCTTCAATTGACCTTGAAAATCGACCTCAAGGTCAACTCAAAGTCACCATCAAGTGCATCACTTTAAACCCTACAACTTTAGTCCTGAACACATTTTTCAGAAAATGTATCGTTTCGGAAATAATTAGCCGTAACTGTTCCTACAGCCCAAGGATTGAGGGGTGATTTCTATCCTTAAAATGCGTATCTAGCAGAAACAAAAAAACACGTATTCAATATTTTTAGGTGTTTAATAAGTATGTTAAGTTTCATTCGAATCGGTGAATGTCAGTTGGGTAGTGTTACTTGTAAGTATACTGATTATTAAATTTATTAGAAATTTTTAAGAGCCAAGTTGCAAAATGTCGTTCTGTACTAACAATCATTTTCACGCAAAGAATGATAAAAAATAAAAAGATAGAATCAATAAGCTCATTCTTTGAGTCAGAATTATTGCAGTTTTAAATAGTTTGTTCTTTTTAGATCATTTACTTTTTTTAACTGGCTACACAAGAAATAATAATTTAAACTTAAAAACAATAATTTCATCTTAAAATTAATTACATATTTCATTTTAGTATTATAAAAAATAACGAAAAAGTAACGAATATATCATTAATTTTTTAGTAACGATAACGAGTTATTTTTTTCGAAAAGTAAGGGTAATGCGTTATTTTTTTTAAGTAATATTCCTATAACTCTGGTTAATGCCTACAGCAATCCTGTTAAACTTATATTTTGTCTTGTGTTAAAATACATACAATGCAACAATGCAGCCATCTTGTTCTGAACCGGGTGCAATTACTTAGTAGCGCAGGATGAAGAAAGCTACATATAAAATATATATCTTAGTTAATAGTTCGGGGATCTCTACAAGAGATTTCTACAATCCTGTTGTTGATCTTTAAATTATGAGGTAACTGTATGTCGTCCACCTATATGCTCGATTTCAATAATTTTATAAATAAAGATTGCTTTTATTATCTGAAACCATATATCATACACTTGCAAGAAACTTCCTTCTAGCTAATAACACGTTGCTAATTTTATTTATTCACGATGGAGAATATTAATATAAAATTAATATTAATATAATATTAATATAAAATTTTGAATATTTATTTTACTATTTTATCAAATCAATTTCTTCTATTTTTAACGTCTGTAGACGTTATTTATATTATTATATTATTTTGCGTCTGTAGACGCAACCTTAAAAATTTTAAAATTCAAGATGGCGAACTCAATATAGCGCGAGCTAAAATACCAACAATCGGAATAAATTATATTTCTTTCCGTGAAAATGAATGAAGTTGAGTCTGTAAATAGCTTGAATTTCAAAAAAGTAATTTCAAATTCGTGATCAGCAACGCCAAAAACTCTCGGATACCAATTTTCATGGAAATTGAGGGAGTTTTAAAATTGTCGTCCGCCATATTGGATCCGCCACCTTGAATTTTTAAAAACCGACTTCAAATTTATAATTAGCAACCTCAAAAATCCCCAGATATCGATTGAACAAAGAAAAAGGTTGTGTACAAATACTCAATATAAATGTATGGTACATGCAGTTAAAATATATTTCGTTTTTTCTCAAAATTGTCATTTTGCAATAATATCTTGACTCTCGGCGGGTCAATTAAGCTTAATTTAAAAGGTAAAAAATTTTTGTAAGCTTATCATTATCAGGTAAACCACTGACAAACTTGTAAAAATATTTAATTTTGAAATATTAATTTTTTACTGTAAAAGAACTGAAAATTTTAATAATATTTCGTTAAGATACTTGCGATTTTGTTAACTTTTACTAAATTTCTATTATAGTAGTTTGTCCAATAATGACAAGCTTACAGAAATTTTCTATGTAAAATTCAGCTTAATTGAACTACCGAGATTCAAGATAATACTGCAAAATAACGACATTGAAAAAAAACGAAATATATTTCAACTGCATGTATCATACATTTATATTGAGTATTTTTTCATCAAAATTATATTTTTTTTCTATTTACATGTTGTATAAATACGTGTGAAAATAATGCTTTCGCATATTCATTTAGTTTGTCATAAACAAATTGTCAAAAACAAGCATGATTTTTAGGCAATCTGACCTTCTAGTCCCTTTAAGGCTAATAAATGTCATACGACAAATTAGTCGGATACATCCATTGATTATAAAGCAATCAATGGATTTCTAGAGTGCTCAGAGAAAGTGTTAGGGACTTTAGAAATATTCCATCCAACAGCCAATCATCTGATAATGATCCGACAGTCATGCGACAATTTATCATATGACATGTGTAATATTAGCCTAAGAGACTGCTGAAGTAAATGCCAAATTCGAAAAATATCGATAATGTAGAGACGATCGTCATTAATACGATCATATTATTCTTTTTGTATTTTTCCTACATATAAATCTTATATAAATATATGCTATTTTTGTTGATATGCTTTATTTTGTATTTGAGTATATAGTAAGTGTAACCTTTTGAAATAATGGCCTTTTAAATAATAACTAAAATTATTTTTATAAGTATAATTTATAAAAAAAGTTTCCTAAATAAATAGAATTTTTTGTTACTTAAAATTATTTAAATAACACGTGTGTATATATTGCGTGTAATGTGTGTGAATTATTTAATATTTAATTTAACACTAAAAACCCAAGAAAGAAGAAAATAAAGTCATTTCGACTCCTAGATTTTCTTGTTATCATTATTTCTATTTCTTGAAATTTAAAATCTTTTGTAACTTTTAATTATTTTTGAAATAGAACACGTTGAAAGAATAGTAGAACACGTTGAAGATAGACAGAAAAGCCCGATGATATTATGACGAATTATTTTATGATTTAGCTTGGATATTCAACAAGAAAGACGTTTAACTCTTTATTTAATTGTCAGTATTATATGCATACAGTGTATACAAACTTACTTAAGATTTTAATTTTTAATTTTATATTTTATATTTTTTAATTAATTTATTAATTAAGTTTACATTTTAGTGCGCGTCCATTCACCAATTTTTTTGTACATGGAAAAAAATTGTATTATAGTAAAAATATCACAACAAAATTTTTATAATCTTGAAACAGTTATGGCCAATAATAACTATATATTTTTTTTTAAATATTATATTATGTTATGTTATGCACGTTGATTTCTCTTATTACAACATTATTATAATTATTTGAATGTTTTTTATATCGTATACCAGTGTATCATCAAATTGATTATTTCTATAGTAATTTATACTATAATTTTAGTATAGGCTAGTTTTACAAAAAATATTGTAAAAAAAGATATAGTTTTAATATAATTTTTACTACAATATATTCTCCATGTACTAAATACAGACCAAGTTTGTAATAATTATGCTGTAATAAATTATAAGTTTGGAAAAATTGTGGAAATTGTTATAATTTATTTACAATATACAGAGTGTCCCAAACTCTTCTTCGCAATTTTTGTGGGAACGTAAAACAGATTGAAGTAAACATAAAAATCCTATATCGTTTTGCGATAAATTCGCGATAATAATCGAGATATTAATTAAAGAAGATTGAGATAAATAATCACCAATTTTTGTTCAGTTTGAATCAATATATAAATATACAACAGTACCACTAGAACTCATCTATCATATCACATGTCTATCATAATTATTCACTAATCTTCTTTAATTAATATCTCGAGATTTTATTGCGAATATCATAAAACGATACAGGACTTTTATGCTCACCTCAATCTGTTCTACGTTCCCACAAAAATTGCGAAAGAGAGTTTAGGACATTCTGTATATATTTATATTTTGTAAACTATGTTTTTAACATGTTCAAAAGCCACTATTGATGTGAATAATAAGGAATAGAAAGAGTTCTAATATATTAGAGTTATAAATGATCAAAATGATTGTTTTGGGTATCTGAAGGTGATTGTTGTTCCCGGGAATTCTAGAGTTAACAATTTTTTCTTAAATCAATACTACACCGAGAATAACGTTATAAAAAAAGAGTTCGTTCAATAACATTTCTACTATTATACATGGATAATAGTTGACAAGTTTCCGGTGACGCGTGACGTTTTGCCTAGCAGTTGGTTTGGAAGCTATTGTTAGTGGATTAGCGACTGGCTGGGCCTCACCGTATTTAGCGCAATTAACATCGGCTGAAATGGACATGCCGTTGAGGCTAACCGACACCGAGGCTTCCTGGGTGGCGTCCTTTCTGAATATTGGACGTTTGATCGGGGCGCTCCTTGGCGCTTTTTGTCAAGGTAAGAGTCCATTGCAGCTCTTTGCCAAAGGCAAGAGATTCATCGATCAAAAGTTTCTGAAGATTTATCAAGATTAATCTCGATTAAATTCTTCCTTTGAGTCCTTTCTGTTATATCTCGACATGGCTTAACAATTTTTCTATTTAATGTACAATTTATACGCAGATAATTAACATTTATTATCTACATGTTATATATTAATAATATTATATATTTGTTACTGTTAAATAAAGATTTCTCCTGCTTATTAGCATTGCTACTTTTGACATGCTACTTTTGACAGGCGTTTAATAGAAAGATTGTTAAATTATACGCGAGGAGGCAATAAAATTTCATTCACATCGGCCCGTAGATTTCTTTGATCTATCAATCGTTTGATCTCCAGGGCCAGTTAAAATTCGAAGCAGCCTAGATCTTCTTCCGATTGAAGACGAACGATATTTCGCGACCTAAGAACAAGCCAGCCACGACTCAGCGAAAATCGGAAGCAAATTTTTGCGTGTTAACAATAGAGGCGGAATATCGCGAGAAGGTGAAGCTAAAAAATTCTTAGAACCATCCTCGAAGGTGTATATTGAAGTCTTGGATCATCACGACTTCCTTGTAATGGACGAATCTTTACGCATTCTTCAAATATTGACTAATAATAATCCCTACATTCCTAAAACCACTACTTCTACTCCTCAATCCTAATTCTAATTATTCATGTTCTAATCCTTGCCTAAAGATATCTTCCCTCTTGTACCGCGCTCTCTCGTGCAGAGAGTAATCTGTGAGATATTTCGGCGCGAAATAAACGAGAATAACAGACGACTTCTCTCATCCTCGAAGAGTGAGCCGCAGTTCTGAGTTGTGGTGATCTTGTTCTCAGGATAACATGTCTCTAACGTGTATCACGACACGATCCTTCAGAGTTCGTTGGACGAAAGAGGGTACTGCTGTTGTCGGGATTGCCGTTAGCTTCGAGTTGGATCTTCACCATCTGCACCACATCGGTCACATGGTTATATTGGTCCAGAATCTGCTCTGGGATCGGATCAGGCATGTTTTGGCCCGCGATGTCCTTATATCTCGGCGAGGTCGCTGATCCCACGATTCGAGGCTCGCTGGTAATTTAACTAATAGGAGAAATTAAGAAGAGAAAATACTTCTTATTTCTCTATATCAAGTTTTTTTGCCCGTTTTCTTTGCTCCTTTATTTTCTCCTTAAGAGGTTGTAGGATCCTGACTGAAGTAAAAATTAGATAAAATTGGAGAAGTGAAAAGCTATAAATTAATAGTTATAAGAATTTTTTGTTTTGTATGTCTATTAACAATACCTTAGTATAAAGAAATTGGATTTTATGATGAATATTAACATCACTGTGTCCATTTCAATTTTACTCCGCGAAAGAACCATGCTTAAATAATAAACATCCTGGTCTCAACAGGAATGATCTGAAATAAATATCAATACGTTTTTTTATTCATTAAAGTTATAGTTATCGGTTCACGGAATGAATTCTGAAAAAAATAATATTTTGCAAAAGGGGAGTTATAAAAAATCAAATTCAATTTTTTTACTAAAAAAAACTTGAGCTTGTTTAAATAAAAAAAAAGATTTTGGGATCTTGCAAAAAATCTTCGTGAACCGATAATTATATAATTCTAATAAATAAAAACAATACATTGATACCGATTTCCAATTACTCCTATTAAGATCAGTGGTGCGATTCTCTTTTAACGACAGTGTTATTATCGTTATGTTATCTTTGCGCAAGTATAATATATGATAGAAAAGCTGCGCAACGATAACTACGCTGTTGTTAAAAGTTACAGAATCGTATCATAGGATAATTATTGGTTTTGAAGCATGATTCTTTTGCAGAACAGAGTTGAAATGAGAGATATCAAGAGACACGGTAGTGTCTCGCGCCAAGTGCACGCTATAAGTGAAGCGACGCGCATTGGCCGCGAAGCCAGCCGTATTTCTTTTAATATTTACTGGAGTCACTCTAAGCAAAGTTTGACCATAAGGGAATAATTTTTTGTTGGTCCGCTATATTTCGTCAAATCTCACTCAATACCCAATCACAGTACGCCTATGGTAGTAGGATAGGTTAGGTTAAGAAAAGATAAACAAAAAAAGAGATTGAAAATATGTCTCTCTTTCTCGTAGGATTTGGACAAAACCGCGCGTTATGGCCAAACTCTGATTAGAGTGATTCTAATATTTACCATAAAATATAATTTTTATACCAAGATTTTGTTAATAGACATATTCAACAAAAAGTACATATTCTTATTTTAATTTACTACCTTTTACAACTCTTTAAATTATATACTTAGTATTTATTCCTATCAAAAGCCTGTAGTCCTGTAAGAGAATACTGAATATCATTATAATGCAGCTTCCGTATTTTGTACTATTTTTTTATTTGATTATATAGAATTGCAAAGAGTTATAGAGTTATACAGAGTGAAAGTACAAATATCAATGTATGGCAGAGTACCCTATATTATATAAAAAAAAAACAAAAAATTTCTAAATAAATTTAAAAAATTTAAAAAATTTGTCATATAACATAGGGTACTTTCTCTATATTAATTAAATTAAATTAATATAAAAATTAAGTTAAATAAAAAAAAACTCGAATATCACAATCAAACTATCGAAATATTATAAAAACCAGTAAAAGCCAACACAAATAACTAGTTGCGTGAAATATTTTTTTATATATTTACATACATATATCATTACACATAAACAACTTTCTGTACAATATTGGTGTACAACGTTTGTGTATATACAATGATATATGACTAACGTAAATTTATAAAGAAATATTTCACGGAACCGGTTACCTACATTAGCACTTACTGGCTTATATTTTGATAGTTTCGTTGAATAATATCTTACAATACCTCACAAAGAGAAAGAGAGAGAGAGAGAGAGAGAGAAAGGGCGGGAAAGAGAGAAAAAGAGAGTGAGTGAAAGAGAGGAAGACAAAAAGAAACAGAAAAAGACAGAGAGAATTTCCTTTTTCCTAGATTTTTAATCATGTTGAATATTTTATAGATTATTTTTTTGGTAAAATCCGAATTATTTTTTTTATAAAATTTCCGAATTATTTTTCTACTTTCTATGTTACTTTTTCCCTTTCCACACAAGTCAGATCAATATATTTTCGAAGAATTTTGAAACCTCTTAAATACAAAAATAACATGCTCAGTTAGACCAACAAAATTTGAACGGACGTCACGAGTTAAAATTTAATTTTGATACCTTATTAGCGGTATGGCGGGTTTATATGATTAAGGACATTAAAGCATATAGCGGTAGAAACGAGGTCATTCACGAGGTTCGCCATTCGAAGTTCGACCGATACCTTCAATATTAAAACTTCATTATCTTCTCCCAAGACAATTAAAGCAGGTTACAAGGAGAGCAACTGAAACACCAATCGTAGATTAAAGTATAATACTAATACTGAACAGTTAAATTTTATAACGACTCGTTTTATAACGAACTGTTGATATTAATTATTAAAGCAATTAATTGATTAATTCCGTGAATAATCATAAAAAGATATTCTTTCACTATTCCGTTCTCGTCACTGTCGCTACTTCCTAATTACACATTTTTGTTAATGATCCGCGTGTTCATCGAACACAATACAACAACAACAAGGAGAGACGATAATATGACGACGTCACATCTTCAGATAGCCATGAACGTGAACGCAGCATCCGTGGGTCTGTTCCTGGGCAATGCGATGGGTCCTTATCTGTCCATAGAGATGTTCGCTTACGTGAGCCTCGTGCCGAATATCCTCTTCGTGGCCCTCTTCAGTCTGATACCTGAGTCGCCCTATCATTACGCCCTTCATGGCGATATTGACGAAGCCGAGGCATCTCTCAAGTGGTTTCGGCGAGAGTCTGACGTCAAGGCCGAATTGCAAGAGCTCCAGGATTTCGTCAACGGCGCTGCTACCAGTATCCTGACGAAACTGAAAGATCTCCTACTACCAGGTATTCTACAAGTGTAGAGAATCGCTTGAACACACCTTCGGTGTAACATCTAGAATGTTTCATTTTCTTCTTTTTCTTCTTTCATTTTAATAAACAGCATTTTTTATATAATAGATGTGACTTTTTATATTTGAGCTAAACAAAATAAAAATTCAGAAATAGAAATTTATTCTATTCAGTTCTTAAATAATAATTTATGTATTATTCTCTTTGGTTCTTGTTCTGAACTCTCTTTTACCGATAACAGTTCATCTAAATGCGACTAAAAATCAATCAAAAGACTCATAAGCCATATTCAGAAATATTTTTATCGATAAAAGAGTGTTCAAAATAAGGACCTTTGTCACTTGATAAAAATTGATAATCACTTGATAATTTTAAACTTGTAAGATTCGATAAAGTAAATGTTTCAAAGATGCAAATTTTCGAAAACCCAAATTTCCAAATCCTAAAAAAGCAAAAATTTAAGGGACTACATATATTTAACTGACTCGAAAACGCCTAATATTTAAACTTTTCTGCTGACCACATTACTGACTTTATAAAAATCTCCTTTTGCAGAATAATTCTTCATACTTTTGTTTATATATTATATGAAACTCATTACGAAAAGTTAATATATAACACTGTTGTTATTATTTCCGTAAAATTCGTCGTCGCTAATCAACATTTTCGGTACTCAAGAAATTTCCGACTATTTATCTCAAAAAAGCCTAAGTCCTATTAAATCATATGATAAAAACCAAATAATCTTACTAAAAACATCTATGCAAAACTACAGCAAAATCGCTCTAATAGTTCTCGAAATGTTTTGGATACCGATTTTGAAAACATAGTTTTGAGAAAAACGCGTTTAAAGTTTCAAGTAAAGTTTACATATTATTAAAATCTTACTCCCAACTTATATATAATCATACATTCCGAGTCTATAATAATACGTATATATAATACGAGTATATATAATACGTGAACCAGCTTCATACATATCTTTTTTTAGTCTTTTTGAACAAAATTTTGTCTTCGTGGTCGCTTCTAATGTTACGTGCTCTGTTAAATTAATACTGTGACTATCGAAAGTGGCGAATTAACCCATTAACGCCCAAATGTGCTGAAATTTTATGTTGATTTGAGCTATTTATTTTACTACGGAAATGAGGTCTGTTGTTTATAAAGAATACTACAACTAATTACTATGTCATTTATAGTAATATTGATCCTAAAACAGTTTCGATAACCAAATATAAGCAAAAATTTAAATTAAACGCTTCAAATCGACCGCCATTTTGATGCTGTCATGTTCGTTGAAAAAAATATCATGATATATTTTTTAAGTTAAAATATCGGGAATACGTCCTAGATACTTTCCCAAACGATACTAACACGTTTTTATGGAAAAAAATAGCGGAAGAAGAAAAAATGAGCCCGAAAAACATGCGCTTTTTTATTTTATTTTGCAAAAATTTTGCATAAATTGCGATTTTTTTTAATTTTCTCAACGCTATTCGATAGAGCGACATCGAAATTGGTAGGAATCTTTATAAACAACAGACCCGTAGTAAAATAAATGGCTCAAGTCAACGTAAAATTTCAGCATATTTGGACGTTAATGATCATTTATGCTCATCAATACGTCCATTCTGTATTATTTTTAACAAAATTTTTTTTCTTCGTTAAAATATATGTTGCTATATATGCAACTATTTCTACAATATTAATTTCACAATTATGTTCTTTTAATGCAATTTTATGAATAATGCTGTTCAAATTTTTATTATTATTTTGTGTACCCAAGTAGGAATTTACTATTGGCATCAGAGTGGCCCAGTATCGATTTATGGTAAACGTTCCTGGCATAATATCAGATGCCAATACGGGTAGTATTGGTATGATGATAGAAAAAGGCCAGTATCGGAAAACAGTATTGTCACAGTACCGAAAATCAGTACTGTACAAGTATAAAAAAAATATTGATTCCTAGCACTGGGGAAGTACCTATTCCCAGCACTGGACCAGTATCGATTCCTAGTAATTTTTATTATTTGTACAATTGTTAATATCACAACTATATTTTTTTCCATACATAGTATGGAAAAAAATCAGATTATGGCTGCTGTCGTTTATATCTATACATGTCTAATTTTAATAGTCATATGAGGAAAAAATCTTCGGGGCGACACACAGTGTGCCAAAAAGCATATTTGATGGACAAAATTCTGCCTATATCACAAATCTGCATTGATTTTGATGAAACTTTTTCTAAAATACTCGTGAATAATTCTACTATAATGTCTCACTGCCAAAAATTTGAAAAAAGTAAACATAACCTCAAATTCCATTACTTATTACCCCTAATTACCTCAAACTTCATAACACTATGGTCCGAAACTCCATCATTCCAAATCTTATAGTCCCACAACTCCTAATTCTAATTACCCACGAGTTAAAAACCCCATAATCCTAAACTCCATAACCCCATAACGATGTTATGGAGTTTCGGGTTATGGGGTTTTTAACTCGTGGGTAATCAGAATTAGGAGTTGTGGGACTATAAGATTTGGAATAATGGAGTTTCGGACCATGGTGTTATGAAGTTTGAGCAGGGTTGGGTAGTAACAGGATTGGGAACGTTACTTTTTAAAAGTAACGCGTTACCGTTGCCGTTACTTGCGGTAAAAAGTAACTCGTTACCGTTACTGATTCTAAAAAGTAACGCGTTACCGTTATTTGAAAAGTAACGATAAAAAAATCGCTACTTATCGTTACTTTTGTAAAAAAAAAATTAAAATCCGCTTATAAAACGAATAGTAAGAGAGACAGTACATAAATTATATATATATATATATATATATATATATATATATATATATATATAAAGACAAAATATAAGATATTTAAGCGGGAAGCACACATTCTTGCATAACGACCTAAAGCCCATTCTACATTAGTCGCAAATAGCAAAGTCGTAAAGAAATTGACTAATCATAGTCGATTGTTCTTCTTGCGATCGAAAAATAATCAATTACGATTGGTCAATTTCTTTGCGATCTTGCGATTGCGACTAATGTAGAATGGGCT